TTTCAGGCACAGGAGGGGCGGGGGAGGGCCTCAACCTCAGCTTCCTCAGGCGGCGGCAAAGGGTCCACTTGGCCGTGCACCAAAACCTTCCAGCCCCAGCCAGGTGTAACCTCCCAGTGGTTTGGACATGGAAACCACTGCCTGGAGGCTGAAAAGCTCACCTGTGGCCTGAGGGCTCCCACCCTCCAGGACCCCCGTGCCAGTTACTAGTAGGTGCCCACCCCTCCTGCCTGAGCGGACCTGCAGAACAGCTCCAGCCACACCAGTAACTTCTCTCCCTGCTGCCTGGTGGCAGCTCCTCCCCGAGGCCTTGAGGGCCCTGGGAGTTCATCCTTCCTGGTTCCTTCTCACAGTCCATCCTTCATCGGAGGCCACTGACTCTGCACATTAAACTTCTACGATGTGGAATCTTTCTCTTGGTTGGACCCAAACCCAAACCTTGGCCTTTGTAGAAATGGGCACTGGGTCCTCCCGGACATTTCTGGGGCCCAGCTGTCCCCATGACCAAAGAAAATCACCACCTCCACCCGATCTGCCTACACAGACCAGCGTGTGGAGACCCCAGCCTGAGCGTGACCCATGAAGACTGACAAGGGCGGGAATTCTGTGTCCGGCCACTTACGCCCTCCCCAGGTATGAAGTGACCACAGAGACGCCAGCCCCTATGGAGCACAGGCCAGCACCACCGACGGATCCGCCTGTGCTGCCTGCACAGCTACCCAGAGCCCTGTGTCCACCACCTCGGCCAGCACTGGCCGCCTCCCTCCCGCTGCTCCTCAGATGGGACAGAGTCTGCGTGCTGCGGGCAGGGATCTCCGGGTGCCCCTCCCTGCCCCCACCTCTCTCTCCCGCTCGGTCTTGGACAGCTGCATCTGCTTCAGCATCTGGGACCTCTGCTCCATCATCAGCGTCTTTTCGTAGGTGAACGCAGAAATGTCATTTTCAACCTGGAAAGTTTCAAAGCACAGAAGTAAACAGAGGGCACCAAAACCACCTGTCACCTCCAAACATCTCCCGTTCTAGCCGCCATCTGAGCAGGGTCCTGAACGGTGGACAGCCTGTCATTCTGGGCCCTCTGGTCCCCCCTCTGCTGGGTCTAAGTCCCCAGCCCAGGGCAACCTTGGGGCAGTGTGCATGTGCGTGTGAGCATGTGAGTGTGCAATGTGTGACTGGCAGTCAAGTGGGGCCCTTGAGGTCTTGTTCCTGTCCTGCTCTGACTTTGTCCCAACATATGGCATGGGAATTTGTAGCAGACTTGTACGTCACACACAAATGTCTAAAACAGTGCATGAGACTGAACTGCAGTGGACCCGTTCCAGTAGGTGGCACACATCCCTGGGGGTGGGGGGGTGGGGCAGGCAGGCTAGCGGGAGGGGCAGCCCCAGAGGCCGACCCGGGAGCACAGGGACCAGGGGCTGGAGGCCGTGCCAATCCAACTGCAGGTTCACCCGCTCAGGAGCCCATGCGCTGCAGCAGCTCAGGTGGCCGCAGCCGCTGGCACAGGACCCGCCTCGCTTGGCCTGTTCCCTGCCCGCAGCCCTAGCGACCACCCTAGACAGGCCTCCTCCTCTCCTTGCAGGGCTTGTTCTGGGAGGCGTTTGGGTACTTTGTTACAAGGAGGCTGTTTTATGACTTGGAAATGTTATTTACACAATGATTAAAGCCAGTTATGGCAAAGGGCGAGTGCACGGTGAGGATTCCAGGAGCCCCAGATGGCAAAGGCACGGAAGAGGCCGGCTGTGCGGAAACTCAGTGCCTGGAACAAAGCACCAGCCTCCAGGCCCAGAGGACGGACCGCGGCAGAAAAGGAGCCAGCGTATGGCAGGCGGCTGTGCTCCTCAGCCTGGAGAAAGCTCTTGCAGAGCAAGAAAACATAACCCCACAACACAACGAAGTTCCACAGGAACTGACGGAGAAACACAAAGGTCATCAGCAAAGCACGGGGAGAAGCCTCACCTCGCCCGTGATTAGAGAAAGGAGGACCGAGTCGAGGCATCTCCACGCTGCTGGCTGGGCTCACCCCCACCCCAGGGCCTCCGCCGCGTCAGCCCCTCCCGTCAAGGCCTATGGGGCTCGGCGGATCCCGTCCACCCGCTCCCCGGGGCGTGTCCTACAGGCGGATCCCGTCCACCCGCTCCCCGGGGCGTGTCCTACAGGCGGACCCCATCCACCCGCTCCCCGGGGCGTGTCCTACAGTCCGCCTTATTCCACTCAACGGCCCCACGGCCCAACCTCAGGCTCGTCATGGACATGTCACTTGTTTCCAGCTGCGGGACTGTGAGACCACCTGGGGAAAAGCACCCGAAACCAGAGGTGCCCAGACTTGCCCCACCAGCTCCAGTCCCACTGAGACGTGAGGCCAAGGCACGATCCAGGGCGTGGGGCAGAGCCTGGAGCCCCTCGGAGGTGATAGGGCACCGAGGTCACATGAGATGTGAACGAGAGGGGTGGGGGGGTGCTGCGCTGACTCTCGAGCTGTGCCCACACAGGCCCCTACAGCGCCCCGGCGGCCCGCCCGTGCCACGCACGCACCATCTCCACCACCTCCACCTCGGCACTGATGCGCAGGTGGTACAGGAAGGTCTGCAAGTCCTTCTTCATCTGGATGCTGTTGTCATCCACCTGTGCCACCGTGAAGATGCGCATCCGGCACTTCCTCCACACCTGCGGGGGCAGCAGGAGGGGGCGTCCCTGCTCAGCCTTGGCAGGACCACCCCCGGCCCGCGAGTGGCAGCCGCCCCAGCGCCGTGCCGCACGCCCACCTTGTGCTGGCGCAGCAGGAAGGGCAGCAGCATGAGCATGCCGCCGTCGTGCACGACCCACCACACGTCGATGTGCCCCTCGCTGAAGCGCTCCTGGTTCTGCGGGAAGGCGTCGATGTTTTTGGCCACCAGCAGGGCCTGCTGTGCCGCGGTCGTGTCACGGACGGTGTCTGTGGGGAGAGGCCGCCACAGGCAGTCACTGGCCAGCACGGGAGGCAGCACAGGGAAAGGTGGCGTCCCCGCGAAGCCCCCACCCAGGCAAGTGCCAAAGCGCTCCCCTGCTGCTCGTCACACTCCCGGGGTCCCCAGACCTGCGGCAGGGCTCAGGGATAAGGGAGGGAGCGTCAAGAGCCAGGGCCACGCCAGCCCCACCCACCTACAAAGTTCTTCCAGGAGAAGGGGCCGGCAGCCTGCTTCCAGGACGCGGGCCAGGCCATGAGCACTGTGTTGTGCTTCATGCCCCCCAGGCCGGCAGACTGGATCAGGTGGGACATGCCGTCCCGTAGGCTGGAGGAGACCACCAGCTGGCAGAAGCCTTTGGTCTTTTCCACGCCCATCAGCGTCCGGATATTCTGCAGGAGACAGGACGGTGTCAGGGCCACAGCTCCCACGCAGCAGGCGTGAGGGGCTCCCACGGTGCGTGAGGCACCGCTGTTTCATTCAGACATTTTAGGCCAAATCTAACTGCTCCAGTAAGAAGGACCGTGGAGCTTCACGGGGCCCAGGAATGAAATACTAGGCGAACGGGAGACACATTGGACGCCCCTGCCGTGTGCTGTCTCTGTCCTTCCCACCAGCATCTTATGGGGGCACCCCATGAGCAGCGCAATTCCCAGGACAGGCTGGACACACATGACCAGTGACATGCCCTGCATTAAACCAACAGCGCGTGGCACACTGGGCTTCTGCCGCCCTCGCTGAGCAGCCCTCTGTGCCCAGGCTCCCAGGTCCCTCGGGCACAGCCTCAGCGGGGAGCCTCGGCTCCAGGAGTCTTCTCGGGCCTCGGCACCTCATGGAACTGCCCTGCTGGTTCTCACACTTGCTCAGGACTGTGACCCCTCTACACCTCCCAATTTCTCCCTTTTGGAATGGTAACACCTCTCCCGAGCCCATCCCACCCTGTATTCTGGAATACAGATAAACCTGCCCTCTGAGTTTCACAGGTCTGAGGACACAGGAACTTCATCCTAGATGACTGTGTCCAGAGTGTCACCAACACCTGATTTAGGTGACTGGAGGATGAGATTTGGGACCTTTGAGCTGATGAGATTTTAGACTTAGAATTGATGCTGGGATGGGCTGAGGCTTTGGGGGATGTTGGGACGGGATGACTGTATTTTGTACACAGGCAGGTGTGAGTTTTGGGGGGCCTGAGGGTGAACTGTGGTGAGTCGAATGGAAGCCCCCCAAAGGCATGTCTGTGTCCTAATCCCAGGAACCTGAGAACATGACCTTATTTGGGAAAAGAGCCTCTACAGATGTAATTAAGAATCCTGAGGAAGAGACCACCCTGGATTATCCATGTGAGGCCTAAATCCAATGACAAGTGTCTTCATGAGAGAAAGGCAGAGAGACGTGAGACAGAAAAGAGGAGAAGCCGCGTGAAGACAGAGGCAGAGGCTGGAGCAGCGCGGCCACAGGCCCAGGAACGTCGGGAGCCTCCAAAAGCTGGAAGAGGCACGAAACATCCTCCCCTGGAGCCTCTGGAGGGGGCGCAGCCCCCAGACGACTGAGACAGCAGATGTCTGCTGTCACAGCCCCAGCCTGTGCTTTGGTACAGCAGCCACCGGACACCAGCGGGAGGACAGCACAGCCAGTGACGCCGCCCCATGTCCCCGCACACCCGAGGCCCACCAGCCCCTCGCACACACCACTTCCAAAACAAAATCCAACTTTTCCCCCCAGTACCCTCTTCTCCGCTGGGTGGCAACACGTAAGTAAAGTAACATTTCTCTTACATCAACCTTTGTGTCTTCAAAAGACTCCCAAATGCTCTCGCTTTTATACTCGTAACTTACAGTCATGATGGGAGGGAACACAGCTCCTCGCAGCCCCAAATGGCTGCCCGACGGACAGCGGGGCCCCTGGAGGCTGCCTCCTGCCTCTGCTGATCAATCACTGCGACTAATTTAAGGGAGACCAAAGCCTCCTGAATAGTCAACAACCAGAGCAGCAGACACCGAGCTTCCCATTGTAACAGAGCGAGTTCCTAACTCAGACGTCTTCAAATACTTCTTGGATAAAAAACATTTGAGATTAAAACCATCGGACTGTCAGTTAAAGCATAAATGTGAAAAAGCTAAGGGCTCCTCTTCCTGTGGCAGCAACAGGACAGTGATGGGGGGCAGAGGTGCCACTGTCCCCAGCGGTCACTCGATCCCTCCCTGCCCACGATCTGCAGCAGGACACACGTGCTCTTGCGTGTATCACTAGAGCTCAGTCCAGACCCTCAGGCTCTACGCTGCCTGCCTGGGGTTCTTAACTCCAGGAATTTGTCCCCACAATTATCCCACGTGGGATGAGACACATCAGAAGGACTGGGTGCCACGATGCCGTCCAGCAAATGAGAACGGGAAGCTCCTCACTGTCTGAGAGCAGGAAAAGTGATGGAAGAAAGAGACTGTGTCCCTGAAACGGAATGAGACAGGCGCTCTGCTGGAAAGCCGACACCTCAAAGTAAAACAGGCCTGTGACATGGCACGTCAGCACAGCTGTTTCAAAAGACGACGGCGACAGCAGAAAGTCGAGAAGGGCACTTTAGACGACCTTGACAGTCTGGGAGCGGCTCGACCGACCGCGTCAGGCGCGGCTCTGGGCAAAGGCTCTGGGAGGCTCTGACCTGCCCACTCCATGCCAACTGTCCGACCCCTCACACCCGCAGCCATCTCCTCCAGTTCCCCTGAGAGACGCTGGGGCACAAAAGGAGCCGGCTGTAGGAGGCGGCAGGGCCCCGTCCTGCACCCGGCAGCTCTCAACCTGAGCCGTGCCACAGCGACCACGCAGCACTCAATGGGGTCGGAAACAGGAAGCCAGGGTCACTGCCACCAAGAAACCAGCTGCCAGAGCAGAAGCAGGAAGCTGCAGACAACCAGGCCCGTATCAGAAAGCCCAGGCGCCGAGGGAAGAGGCTGCCCCAGCCAAGCCAGGACAACACAAACGTCTGGAAGGAGAGCGGCCGAGGCGCTCACGTCCACAGTGCACCGTGATGCTGGCAGAGGGTCGCTTCCAGGGAGAGAGGAGGAAGGACCCACTGCGCCTGCTGCCGTCCCTGAACAAGCTGGACTTCACAGCAGCCTGGAGGAGGCCGCTGTCTGGTGATCAGGGACGCGGGAGGGGCCAGGCGCTGC